TGAAGTACACTGCTGAGGCGAGTAGCAAATGGGTCAGGAGAGGTCTGCCGCGCAGGTATCAAACTGGCATTGAAGCAGCTGTGGTTAGCTTGCAGTGCTGGGTCCCAACCTTGCACCACCAGGGAGGGCCCTACTCATCATTTTTTAATTGTGGTAAATGTACACACATCTGTATAGAGAGAGAATGTGAAGCCTGCGATATTTGCCACTTTCAGCATGCAATTCCATGATATTTGTACATTTACAATATTGTGCAACTGTTGCAACTGCCATTTCCTAAACTTTTTTGTCACTCAAGTAGAAACTTTGTAGTCATTACACTAACCCCCATACCCCATCTCCCCACCCTGGAAACCTCTAATTTACTTTCGGAAAGAAAAATGTTTAAAGGTTGAAGTCATAATGTTTTAACTTATAAACTTAAATTTTGTAGAACTTTCAGGTTCACAGTTTCAGATAATTCCTATCTACTGTCTGCTCAGCCTCCCACCATCAGCATCTCCCACGGGGTGGTACTTTTGTATTAATGAATATTAGCATCTTAAGTCAATATTTAGGGTTCACTCTGGGTGTTTAATGCTATGTCCATCTCTGCAGTTTCAGACAAAGCGGTCCTCTGCCTTAAATATCCCTGTGTTCTGCCTACTCAGACCTCACTGACTTCTTATATTTATTTTTTTATCCATACAAGAACTGGGTTACAGTCCAGAAGTACGGGGTGAGAGGGTTCATTAGAGCCAAAATGGGGAACATAACAGGCAGGCAGACTGAAATACACTTCTGAGGAGATGGGGTTGAAACAGAAGAGATACGCTGTGCCACGTAGGTCACCTCCCTGGCCTGGGGTCAGACTCTTGCTGCAGTGGCTGGTGATAGATAGCTTGATAGCACTGAGACTGTAACCCCTGCGCAACCTGGGAGGACCCTCATCAATTTTTTATTCTACATAACAAGCTAACATCCATGCTATGAAAATTGTGAAAATTATCATCCACCTCTGTGCTTCCTTAATTTTTAACTATACTACTAGGGTACATTGTCTCAGTTTTAATAGTCTTTTCAATAAACATGACTGCTACAATTTCAAAAATACTAATTCAGTCTTTACCAGGATCTCTCCATTGATGAATGTTGGATTTATCTTTTGGTTGGTTGGGAATCAGCACCAGGTCCTTTTGTTTGAGGACTTAATGGATATCCCAGCCCCTGAATTTATGTTAGAATGTCTGTTAACTTTCTACTTGAAGGACAGTTTAGCTGGATATAAATTTCTGGATCCTGGTTTCTTTCTCCTAGAGCTCTGTAGATATGGTTTCACTGTTTTCTGAAATTGTGTTGCTGTAGAGGGATCTGATTCTCTTCAGCCCATCTCTCTGTGCCACTGGCTACAGGGTTCTTCCCTTGTCCTTTCAGGTATCTTTTTTTAAAAAGGTTTTTTTTTTAATGCATGCAGAACTGGGGTATAAGTCAGGGGTGCAGGGGTGGTGAGAGGATTCACCAGAGACAGAGCAGGGAACAGAACAGGACGACTGACAAAGTACACTGCTGAGGGGAGCAGCGGGCGGGTCAGACGAGGTCTGCCGCGCCATGTGGGTCACCTCCGGGGCAGGTATTAAATTCATACTGAAGTGTCTTTAGCTGCTTAGTGTCGTGCTTTAACCTGCTGTGCCACCAGGAAGGGCCTAAGCTAACTTTTATAGGATGATCTTCATGTAATCATATCAATAAGCTTTTCTAGGCCACAGAAGGGCAATTAATATGTCAAGTCAAGTCTTTTTTTCTAGTTCAGGTGATTTCTTTCAGTCTGTATTTGCCTATTTACCCCACCATCCATTTTCTGTTGTCCTTTTCCTTCAGTGATCACACTGATTATGTACATGTTCCTTTGGTCTCCCATACCTGCCTTGTGAGTGTTCTTTTTTAATTTTGTCTGATTTCCTCAAAACCACCCACCACATCTCTGGAAGCTTATTTATTCATGGCTGATAACAAGGTTTTTAAGAAATATCTGTAATGTGTTTATTTTTCTCTCCTGTTCTTCCCCCAGAGCACTACTGACTTACTTTTCAGCTTTCATTTCTTTCTGTTGTCTAATCATCTTTTAAAAATTTCTGTTGGGCCTGCCCTGGTGGTGCAGCAGATTAAAGCGCAGCACTATGAAGCTATCTGCAGCCACTGCAGCACGTGTTCAATCCCCAGCCAGGGAGGTGACCCATATGCCGTGGCCAACATCTCCTGGCCTGCCTACTGCTCCCCTCAGGAGTATATTTCACTCATTCTGCCTGTTCTGCTTCCCACTCTGTTTCAGGTGATTCCTCTCACCCCCACATCTCTGGCCTGTACCCGAGTTCTTGTATGCGTAATAAAATAAATCTTTAAAAAAAATTTCTGTCTCTTCCCTTACCCTTCTGCATCTACCAGTGTTTCAGAGGTTCTGGTTGTTAACTTCTCTGTTTCTGTGGAGAACTGTTTTTTGAAGTCTTTCTCTGGCTGATTCCACTGGTGATGTTCTTCATTTGCCCTACACCCTTAATGCCCAGGACCTGTGGGTTCCTTTATGATTCTTATCTCTAGCTGCCTTCTCAGTATCTGGGCGTAGAAGTTCAGGAAGGCATCTGGAGCAAGGTGCAGCTGCAACTGAGGCTGACTTATTGTCCGAAGTCTCTTCCCAGAGCTGTTATGTCATCTCCGTCAGGTTTTGGGCTGCTCAAGGTTATTGTGGCTCAAAGCCAAATTCCTCAGGCCATTAACCCTGTATTATGGGCAACCCTTATTTGCTCTTCCCTCCCATGACCCACACCATTCCTGGCATCTCCCTTAACTAGGAAAACTGAGTTCTGTCTCAGAAGTGGCGTGTGGGGTGATGTTCCCCTGGCTGTCAACCTACTTCCATTGCACAGTGTAAGCTCTTGTCTCTGCGGGTCCTGCAGTACTATTCCGTTGGCCCCACGCTAGAAATCACCCGAGCGCCCATGAACATGAATGGGTGTAGTACCTTGTCTCAATGAAATAGTGAGCAGTGATGAGAATGAACCATCTACAACTACTTGCAGCAGCTGGGAAGAATCCTGGGAACATAATGCTGATCAGAAGAAGCAGAAGCCAAAGAGCATATGATTCCCCAGAAAATTGCCTTGTCTGCAGGTCATAAACAGTTGGGATCGACAGTTCATGGACTTCAACCTAATATAAAGTACAACAGAAAAAGGGAAGACAGGGTTGCTCTGGGAGGGATATGACTGGAAGGGCCACTAGGGAGGCCCCACACTATCACTTTTCTGTTCCCTGGTCTTTTCTGGCTTTTGCTGGTCGCCTGGGGGAACTGCATATATGAAAATGCATCCAACTTAACGCGGTGCACATTTTTGGTAATATCTGAGGCTCCACCAACAAGTGAAAAAGTCATGGAGCCGCATCTCTTCTCCCCAGCATCCACAGCCCTTGCTCTCTCATCTAACTGGTAGGAATTGATGTGTGTGCGTATGTGTGTGCGTATATGTGTGTGTGTGGGGGGGGTGAGGTGGGTCTCAGGCTCCTTCCTTGTTTGCAAGATGTGGCTTGGGGATAGTGTGTCCTCTTTTCATCAACCACAGTGGCTTTATCTTCACTGGGTTAAGGTTAAGTTCATGTTCCGCCCACTACCTTCAACCGGAAGTCGGAATAGAGTGGTATGGCTCAAAAGAAACAGCCTGATTTCCTTAACTTAACAACAACTGGAGCCAGGCACCCAGAGTCCACTCATGTTGTTCTCCCCAGCTATGCCCACAGGCTAGTAGGTGTGGGGAGCTGCCAGCCTTTCCCTGGGGCTGCTTGATGGACAGTGCTTGCTTCCAAGTGGTAATGTGGGTTGAGGCTTGAGCTCGTGGTCATGCCTTGTCAGGTGGGTGACTTGGAAGCCAGTGAATTAACCTGAACTCCTGTGCAGCCAGGCTACAGGAAACAGCCCCATCTCTGTTTTGATCATGCTGTCCCTACGTCCAGGTCTGCAAGGGGCTTCCATGTGCCAGCCACCTCCCCAGGGATACCTACCCCACAGGAGCTTTTCACCCAAATATGCACCATCCCTGCCCTATCTCCAGTCTGGAATGAACACTTGCCTGAGTCCTCTTAGACACGCTGTGATGCCCCACTGCGGTGCTGCCTGGCCTGTCCAGTGGCCCCTGGCTCCAGTGGGGAGGACATCCCACTGTGGCATCCTGCCCCTTGTCACTCTGGCTGTACCGCCAGCATATTCTTTCTAAATCTGCCACTGCCCATCTCAGAACATGTCCCTCAACTTCCAATAACTCTGGGGTGATGCCAAATACATTGACAGCAAGGCCCCCTCACCTGGGTCTTGGCTGGGCTGGGGTGTGGGGGGGCATCATTTACTGACAGTGCCTCCTTCAGGCACTAAGCTGTGTTGTTTTGTTTTGTTAATTTGATTGCTTTAGGTGCAATCAAATCTTCCAAGAAGCTACATGAGTGAACTGTGAGCTTATTTTTAATCACTTACTGTGATGCAACCCCTGCTATGGGCAGCCACCACTTATCTCTCCTACCTCCAAGACCTGACCTGAGGTCAGCATTGGAGTAGGGGTCGGAAACAGTCAGTGTTGGACTGAAACGGACCCCGCTCCCACTTCTGGGCCTCTGCCATGCAAGATTTTATGTGTCCTTCCTGCTTTCTCATCACTGCTGCCACCTCCCTGCAGACCCAGAGTAGGGTGCTGAACTGCCCCTGAAACTGGAGCCCTGCTCTTTCCTCTCAGGCACACTACCCCTCCTGCTGCCGCCGGCTAGTGGGGCAGGGGCTTTTATTTCCTGGCTGTTGAGCAGTTTTCCTGCGTCCTTTACAAGATTGCTTAGCAAACAGGAAGGTGGAGGCTGGGAGGTAAGGGGGCTCCTGTGTCATCGGTACAGGGCTTCTAGCCTCCATCCAGCCTGGGACCCCAACTGTGAGCTGTTGTACCCCACCAGCCTTTGCAGAATGTGACTCCTGGCTTCTCTCTTTCTCCAAGGGGTGCTTGGTGAATTTTGTCATGGTGGTTTAAGGAGCCTCTTCTAGAAGTTCCAGCGTGCAGTTCCCCATCAACGGGAAGGCTTGGACTCCAAGATGATTGTGAAGGAATATCGGATTCCTCTGCCAATGACTGTAGAGGAGTACCGCATCGCTCAGCTGTACATGATACAGGTGGGTGTCAGGTGGCGTGTGTGTGGTTGGGGGGGGGGGGTGGCGGCTGCCCAGTGGGCTCCCAGAGGTGTCTGGCCCTAAGCTCGATGATCAGTGCGGCCGTGTGTGGGGCCGGTGGTGGCCCTGTCTTGCTTGAATGCTGTTCACAGCACCAACAGTACTGTCACTCTTGGCATTTCACCGTGGTCCAGACAGTGTCCTTATGTTTAATCAGCTCAGGCTACCATGACAAGATGCCCAGATGGGGCAGCTTAAACAACAGCTTTTATTTCCCACAGTTCTCCAGACTGAAGTCCATGATCAAGGTGCCTGCAGATTTGGGGCCCTGTACAGCCTCTTCCCACTTGTGGAAGCCATCTTCTCAGCACAGGGGGCTCTCTAGGATCACTTTGGGAAAGGACACTGTTTGGGAAAGGCAGCTGTCTTTCTGCTTGAGGTGGAAGACGAACCTGCCTCAGCCTCCATGCTCATCTGGCCTCTCCTCCTCTGTACGCCCCACCTGGGCCACAGGTGTAGGGAACCCTGGCCTAATTGGGCCTCCGTTTTCATTCTGGGTTTGCTCAAGGGGCTCCCACCCTTCTTGTCATGAAGCCCCCCATCCCTGAGACCTGATCACCCCCTGAAGGCCCTACCTCTTCTCACCATTGTGGTTTGCTTTAGTTGGGGAAACATTTAGTCCATAGCACACCCATCTGACAGGAAGACAAGAAGGTGGGAGGCCCCAAGTTCAGCGACTGGCCCAGGAGCGCACATCCTGGCTTGTGCCTTTCCAACAGTAGTTTCAGCCATGTAACTTGTTCGTAGAGTTAGATGCAGATTGGAGGTGACAGGCCAGAAAACACCCCACCCCCTGACATTGCCAGCCTCCCTGCTGTGTCTGATTCCCTTGGAACATGGGCTGGGGGGTCCCAGCCCTTTGCCAGAGCAGTCTTTCTGTTTGAAGGTAGAGGATGAACCTGCCTCAGCCTCCCTGCTCATCTGGCCTCTCCACCTCGGTATGCCCCCACCTGGGCCATAGGTGTGGGGAAATCTGGCCTACTGGGCCTCCATTTTCATCCTGGGTTTGCTCAAGGGGTTCCCACCCTTCAGCCCAATCTAGGAGCTAGTTCCCAGCTCTCCATGGAGCCTGGAACCCCTGCTCCAATCTGGGAGGGGCTCAGCAAGATGGGAGGGTTGAAACTGCCCTCTCTCCCCTGCTGCCAGGGGCTTGGCTGGGAAAAGAACAGAAGGCAAGCGTGGCCTCTCTGGGGCTGTTTGCTGCAAGCAGCTTCCAAAGTGCCACTCGATTCCCTCTTGAACCACTTACCCTGTAATTACTCCTAAAGAGCAGGGAGCGGAGAGGAGACTTCCAGCAGCCCCCAGTTCTGAGTGCACTCGGAAACCATTCTACCCTCAAGGATCAAGCTGAGTAGCTGCCGGTCCTGTGGCTTCTTGATTCCCCACCAAGCCGGGATGCCCAGCCTTGGGGCAGCTCAGCCCTGCAGGCTAAGGCAGGCATCAGGATCCCCAGTGCCTGACTTGCGGCTTCTAGGGTCTCCAGAACTATTCTGGAGTATATTTTGAGGTTTCTTTTTTTCTTGAATTATCAGCCTTTATGCTTCTAATTGATGTAAAAGATCCCCTGCCTCCCTGGGGGTGCCAGTTCTGGGCAGCTCTGTTGGTTATCTTTGAGCTGGGGCCCTGGGAGCTGACTCTTGCCCGGGTTGGTGGCAGGATGGGCACTGTCTCCAGTTGTCCCCCCACCTCACAGCCTGAGAGCCGGCTTGTCTGCTCACTGGGCTCATGTCTGCCGCCCTGAGCTCTCAGGTCTTTCCTGAGCTCCTTCTCAGTGACTGTGTGTGTGTGTGTGTGTGTGTGTGTGAGTGTGTATACATCTGCTTCCCTGTGAAAATCTTGAAACTGTCCCCTTGGGAAAGGCTTTCTGTTGGGAGGAGGGTGTGGTGGAGAGGCTGGCTCAGCTGAGGCCTTCAGCATGTTGGAAAGGGGATGGTTGGTTCTCCCTGCCAAGCCAGGGGCAGGTCTACCAAGGAGTCAGAGCCACCAAGAGCAGGTCTGTGGGCCCCAAGTAGGAGGAAAGCTACCAGCCTGGGTGAAGGAGGGCAGTGGGCAGCAGAGGGGGAGAGGAAACTCTGCCCCCCAAGCCCATGATTCACCATGTCCTTGCGCGCACTGTCTCTGGGCTGGGGCTTCCGTGCTGTGTGTCCTCATGGTTCCCTATCAGGTCGCCTTACCAAGAAGCACCCGCATGCTCGGAGTCCCTACAGCGCAGTGGCGTGAGGCTGCATTCTGCACCCCACCCCAGCCCTAACAGAACCAGCACATGGGGCCCCTGCCCACACCCTGCTGCCACTGTGCTCGTGAGGCTGGAACAGCTGTTTGGACTGGGGGACTGGGGTGCCTTTGTTGCACGTCTTGTTGTTTGGATTGAGGTGAAATTCATCTCACAAACATAACCATTTCAAAGTGAACAATTGAGTGGCATTTAGTGCATCCCTACCTCGATCAGGTTCTAGGACATCTTCATCACCCGAAGCAGTCCCACACCCACTAGCACCCACCCTGGGTTCCGCTCCCAGTGTGACCACTGTCCTGCCTCTATCTTTGGGTGTTTCCTAGAAGTGTGTCCCTCTCCTCCAACCCCGATCAAACTTAGCAGTCTGTCTGAGGTTTGCCCAGCTACAGTGGGTCCACACTTATCCATCCCTCTTATCAGTCGGACACGCTCTTTATCCGTTCATCTGTGGGTCTGCATTTGGAAGCCCAGTGCCTCCCCCCAGGAGTCCCATGAGGGTAGCCAGGGACCTTGGGGCGCTGGCGAGGCCTGGGTAGGGGCAGCAAGGAGCTGGCAGCCATGGGAGAGCACTGGCTCAGCTCTGCCTTCTGTCGGCCTCACACAGCCCCTCTGCCAAGGCCCCTCAGATCAGCTTCCCATTGTGCAGAGAGGGGAACTGCCTGCAGCTTTGAAGTGCTCTTCCTGCCCCACCCAGTGGTCCTGAGGGCTCTGGACCCACTGGCAGTTTCAGAGGGTGGGGTGACATGACAGGGAGGGAGAGGTGGTGTTTTGAAGCATCTTGGTGGGAAGTGCTTGGATGTGTGGAATGTGTGGAGGCTGGAGAGGTGAGCTCAGATCATCCGGATTTGGAGCTCACCTGTCCCTTCCTGGGATACCCGCCATCAGCCCGATTGCCCTCTTCGGGAATCCGCCTGCCACTGGGCCAACAGGAAGCCTCCTTCACACAGCCTGTGCCTGTGTCACACCTGCACTGCGTTCTCGTGCCTCCTGCTCTGGCATTTGTCCCAGCTGCCTCCGACCCCTTTTCCTGGGGCTCCTTCCACCAGGATGTGGGTCTGATGGACAAGCACATTTCCCTGACTGTCTCACGGATGCAGACATGCATCACACCCACTGCTGCACCTTCATGTATATGGGCAATACAGCCATCAAAACTGAAGTTCAATTCTCATGACTTGTCTGTGCCCAGCCTGGGCAGAGGGCTGGGTTACAGTGGTGAGTCCAGGGGATGTGTGTATGGCCCTGCACACAGGCCAGAGCAGTAAAGCCGGGGGTGGTCTTCACTGGGGCCTCCGCCAGCACCCAGGAGCTCATCCATTCTGAACCAGACCTTACAAGATGGCTGATCCTTCCTGGAAGGCAGCTGCCCTTTTGTGGAAGGAAGAACAATACCTTAGTTCATTCTCTCTGGTCCTGCCTGCCATCTGGTGTGGCCCTGCCTCCTGGTCAAGCCACCTGTGGGTGAGGTTGTGAGCGAGACGGAATGGGTGCCTATTCAAAGCACCTCTGCCTATTCAAAGCACCTCCACCCTCCCCTGGCCAGTGTTCAGTGCCTGTGTTGTAAAGGTTTTTTTTTTTTTTTTCTTAAGCCACCAGCCTGGGCCTCTGGTGTCACAAGGGGTTGAGTCTCAGCACTACGAGGTTAAATCCCTGCAGCATGAGTTAGAACCCTGGCCAGCGCACTACCCACAGGGCACAACAGACCTCTCCTGTTTCCCTGCTATTCTCCTCAGCAGTGTATTTTGTCAATCTGTGTGTTCTGTTTCCCACTCTGCCTCTGGTGAATCTTCTCATCCCCCCCCCACACCTCTGGCCTGTACCCCAGTTCTTATATGCATAAATAAATAAATCTTTAAAAAAAAAAAAAAAAAAGCCCTTCCTGCTGGTGCAGCAGGTTAAAGCACTAAGTGGGTTTTAGCAATAAGAAGCTAAAGCCATTGTAGCATGAGTTCTATCCCCACCTGCCCCGGAGGTGACCACATGGCACAGCAGACCTCTCCTGACCTGCCCTCCGCTCAGCAATGTACTTCGTCGATCTGCCTGTTCTTTTCCCTGTTCTGTCTGGTGAATACTCTCACTGCCCCTGCACCTCTGGCCTGTACCCCAGTTCTGTATGAATAAATAAATAAGTCTCTTAAATAAATAAATAAATAAATAAATAAAAAAGCCACTGGTCTGGCAGGGAGAGAATTTTCCATCCCAAGAGTGGCCCAGCAAATGCTAGCATCCAGCAACAGAGGCTACATGGCCAGTACCCTGGACAGCTCTTGATCTTGGCATCTTCTCCCTCCACTACTCCAGCCTTGGGCAGGCAGCTTTTCTGTCCAACCACCTGTCCCAGGAGCCCCGCTGGGTTTTGATGAGTTCTGCCTTATCTGGTCTGTGCTTTCTCCGCATCTGAGGTAGTGGCTCAGACCTCTCCCAGGCAGCCCCCAACCTCAGGGAGGGGGGGAATGGGGCCCCCCACCCAGCCTGTGCAGGCAAAGTGTCCAAGGGTCACAGATCAGGCCTTGCCCTGGGTGGGTGTGTCCAGGGAGTTGGGTCTGTCCTGCCAATCAGCTGTCTCCTGGGGAGGCACCAGGAGTGGTTGGCAGGGACAGCGGGAGCTTCCAGTGTGACAGAGGATGGAAGAATCAAGAAGAGCTTATTTCTAGTGATGTGACTGAGACCCACAGCTGTGCTAGGGAGGCCCACCCCCTCAGATGCC